CACCCTTGTCACCAAACTCCCCTAAGTCGCCCACATCACCCAAGTCACCTAAGTTATCCTAGTCACCCATGTCACCCAAGTCACCCTTGTCACCCTAGTCTCCCAAGCCTCACTAGTAACCCTTGTCACCCTTGCCACCCAAGTAACCCTACTCACCCTACTAATCCTGGTCACCCAATTCAGCTAAATCACTCTTGTCACCTACGCCACCCTAGTCTTCCAAGTCATCCAAGTCACCAAAGTTAGCCAAGTCAACCTAGTCACCCAAGTCACCCAGACCAAGTCACCCCCATCACCCTAGTCACCATAGTCACCCAAGTCACCCTGTCACCAAACTCACTCAACTCACCCAAGTCACCCAAGTCATCCTAGTAACCCATGTCACCCAAGTCACCCTAGTCACCCAAGTCAACCTTTTCACCCAAGTAACCCTTCTCATCCAAAATCACCCAAGTAACCATACTAATCCTGGTAACCCAAGTCACCCTAGTCACGTAGGTGATCTTAGTCACCTAAGTCACCCTACACACCCATGTCACCCACGTGAAGGCCCCCAGTTTCTACTCCACCCCCTCCCCCCTCCAACTTAAATTATGACTGGTCCCTTAGTCACCCAAGTCAACCCTTGTCACCCAATTCCCCCAAGTCACCCTAGTCTGATCATCGTGGTCAACCAAGTCACCCCTGTTACCCTTGTCACCTAATTCACCCCAGTCAGCCAAGTCACCTTAGTTACCCAAGTCACCCCTTGTCACCCACGTCACCCTTGTCATCAAAGTCACTCAAGTCACCCTTGTCTCCAAACTCACCCAAGTCACCCTAGTCATCTTTGTCACCCAATTCACCCTTGTCACCCTAGTCATTCTAATCTCCCAAGTCACCCCTGTCACCCTTTTCGCCCTAGTCATCCTGGTCATCCTAGTGACCCAAGTCACCCTTGTCACCCTAGTCACGCTGGTCATCCTAGTCACCCAACTCACCCAAGTCACCCTAGGCACCTTAATCATCCAAGTCAACCTAGTTACCTATGTCACCCTAGTCACCCTAGGCACCCTAGTTACCCATGTCACCCTTGTCATCCAAGGCAACCAAGTCACCCACGTCACCCTAGTCATCCTACTCACCCAATTTACCCTCGTGACCCGAGTTACCCTAGTCACCCAAGTCAACCAAGTCACTCTAGTCACCCTAGTCACCCACGTCACCCAAGTCAGTCTTCTTACCCTAGTCACCCAAGTCACCTAGTCACTGAAGTAACCCTAGTCATCTAAGTCAAGCAAGTAACCCTAGTAAAGTTTTCACCCAATTCACCCATGTCATCCAAGTCACTCTAGTTGCATAAGTTAACCAAATCACCCATGTCACCTTAGTCATCCAAGTCATTCAAGTCACCCAATGCACCCTTCTCAACTAAGTCACTCTAGTCACCCAAGTCACCCTAAATGCCCATACTTGAGCTTACTTAAAACGTACGTAATCCGCCAATTTTAAGAATAGGTATTTGTAATGGCTTTTGTGTATAGAAAGATCAATTCACGCAGAACAGATTTTGAGTTCTATAGGACAACTGTGGTTGTTTTTTGTTACATTTTAATTCTCTGCCTATACTAACTACAACCATTCTGCACTCAACTAAATACAGTTCACTGATCATGAGCTACAGAGGTCAAAAGTACTCACTGTTTACTGAATATTGCTCTGAGCTGCTCTTTGATAACTCAGAGTTGCTCTGAGATAGCTGCAAAGGAGCTCGCAAACTACTTTGAGTGGCTCTGAATATAACCAGTTAGTTGGTCGATGTCTCGCCCGGACAACTTTATAGACTCATGACATTGTTACTCATTGGTTGCCCAAAATTGCGCACAACATTGTAGGCTCCTGCTGGGATGACTGGGAAAAATGTGATGACTAGTATGGCTGGGATGATCAGGATGACTAGGGTTACTGGAATTACCGGGAGGACTAGGATGACCGGGATGAATTGGATGAATGGGATGTCCGGATGACTAGGCTGACTGAGATGACCAGGATGACTACGATGACTGGGATGACTAGGATAACTGGGCTGACTAGGGTGACTGGGAGAGGAGCCTGTTAGGCCCCTGCTGTGATGATTGGGAAAACTGTGATGACTAGGATGACGAGGATGACGGAGATGACCGTGTTGACTAATTCACCCTTGTCACCCAAGTACCCTAGTCATCCTAGTCACCCTTGTCACCAAGGTCACCCAATTCACCCAAGTCATCCTAGTCACCCAAGTCAACCACGTCAGCCAAGTCACCCGAACCACCCTAATCACCCAAGTTACCCTTGTTACCCAAGTCATCCTAGTCACCCAAGTCACACAAGTCACCCGAACCACCCTTATCACCCAAGTCACCATCGTCACCCTAGTCACTCTAGTAAGCCCAAGTCATTCGCATCACCCTAGTCACCATAGTCAGCCAAGTCACCCTTGTCACCAAACTCCCCTAAGTCGCCCACATCACCCAAGTCACCTAAGTTATCCTAGTCACCCATGTCACCCAAGTCACCCTTGTCACCCTAGTCTCCCAAGCCTCACTAGTAACCCTTGTCACCCTTGCCACCCAAGTAACCCTACTCACCCTACTAATCCTGGTCACCCAATTCAGCTAAATCACTCTTGTCACCTACGCCACCCTAGTCTTCCAAGTCATCCAAGTCACCAAAGTTAGCCAAGTCAACCTAGTCACCCAAGTCACCCAGACCAAGTCACCCCCATCACCCTAGTCACCATAGTCACCCAAGTCACCCTGTCACCAAACTCACTCAACTCACCCAAGTCACCCAAGTCATCCTAGTAACCCATGTCACCCAAGTCACCCTAGTCACCCAAGTCAACCTTTTCACCCAAGTAACCCTTCTCATCCAAAATCACCCAAGTAACCATACTAATCCTGGTAACCCAAGTCACCCTAGTCACGTAGGTGATCTTAGTCACCTAAGTCACCCTACACACCCATGTCACCCACGTGAAGGCCCCCAGTTTCTACTCCACCCCCTCCCCCCTCCAACTTAAATTATGACTGGTCCCTTAGTCACCCAAGTCAACCCTTGTCACCCAATTCCCCCAAGTCACCCTAGTCTGATCATCGTGGTCAACCAAGTCACCCCTGTTACCCTTGTCACCTAATTCACCCCAGTCAGCCAAGTCACCTTAGTTACCCAAGTCACCCCTTGTCACCCACGTCACCCTTGTCATCAAAGTCACTCAAGTCACCCTTGTCTCCAAACTCACCCAAGTCACCCTAGTCATCTTTGTCACCCAATTCACCCTTGTCACCCTAGTCATTCTAATCTCCCAAGTCACCCCTGTCACCCTTTTCGCCCTAGTCATCCTGGTCATCCTAGTGACCCAAGTCACCCTTGTCACCCTAGTCACGCTGGTCATCCTAGTCACCCAACTCACCCAAGTCACCCTAGGCACCTTAATCATCCAAGTCAACCTAGTTACCTATGTCACCCTAGTCACCCTAGGCACCCTAGTTACCCATGTCACCCTTGTCATCCAAGGCAACCAAGTCACCCACGTCACCCTAGTCATCCTACTCACCCAATTTACCCTCGTGACCCGAGTTACCCTAGTCACCCAAGTCAACCAAGTCACTCTAGTCACCCTAGTCACCCACGTCACCCAAGTCAGTCTTCTTACCCTAGTCACCCAAGTCACCTAGTCACTGAAGTAACCCTAGTCATCTAAGTCAAGCAAGTAACCCTAGTAAAGTTTTCACCCAATTCACCCATGTCATCCAAGTCACTCTAGTTGCATAAGTTAACCAAATCACCCATGTCACCTTAGTCATCCAAGTCATTCAAGTCACCCAATGCACCCTTCTCAACTAAGTCACTCTAGTCACCCAAGTCACCCTAAATGCCCATACTTGAGCTTACTTAAAACGTACGTAATCCGCCAATTTTAAGAATAGGTATTTGTAATGGCTTTTGTGTATAGAAAGATCAATTCACGCAGAACAGATTTTGAGTTCTATAGGACAACTGTGGTTGTTTTTTGTTACATTTTAATTCTCTGCCTATACTAACTACAACCATTCTGCACTCAACTAAATACAGTTCACTGATCATGAGCTACAGAGGTCAAAAGTACTCACTGTTTACTGAATATTGCTCTGAGCTGCTCTTTGATAACTCAGAGTTGCTCTGAGATAGCTGCAAAGGAGCTCGCAAACTACTTTGAGTGGCTCTGAATATAACCAGTTAGTTGGTCGATGTCTCGCCCGGACAACTTTATAGACTCATGACATTGTTACTCATTGGTTGCCCAAAATTGCGCACAACATTGTAGGCTCCTGCTGGGATGACTGGGAAAAATGTGATGACTAGTATGGCTGGGATGATCAGGATGACTAGGGTTACTGGAATTACCGGGAGGACTAGGATGACCGGGATGAATTGGATGAATGGGATGTCCGGATGACTAGGCTGACTGAGATGACCAGGATGACTACGATGACTGGGATGACTAGGATAACTGGGCTGACTAGGGTGACTGGGAGAGGAGCCTGTTAGGCCCCTGCTGTGATGATTGGGAAAACTGTGATGACTAGGATGACGAGGATGACGGAGATGACCGTGTTGATGAGGATAACTGGAATGATGGGAATGACTAGGATGAATGTGATGACTAGGATGATTAGGCAATGATTTTGTTACCTCTGCGTCCCTGACGCATAGAAATCTCCAGAGACGCAAATTCATGAGTCCCATAGCACGGAAAGATCGATCGATCGATCGATTTCAACACGTGTATTTGAAGAAATATCCCGTTGGTGTAATTTATGTGGCAGTTATAATGGCTGTTGTTTAACGATGCATATTTCTTTTAGCCTTGTGCTTTAAAATAGAAGGACTATATTTTAATTTTTAGGACACTGAATACACAGTTTTGTCTGTCTTCAGATTAACTGTCTGGTTACATAAACGCCCAAGCATTTTCAATTTCGGACTCGTTTTTATTTTTACTGGGACTCATGGTTTTTTACAAGATGAGTCCCAGGACACACCATAACTATTTGTAACAATTCAGTGATTAGGATGACTGATATGACTGGGATGACTATGATGATTAGGCTGACTAGGATGAACAGGATAACCGGGATGGCTGAGTTGACTGGGACGACTTGGATACCTTGGACGACAGCGATGACTAGGATGACTCGTATGACTGGGAAAACTGTGACGACTGGGATGACTAGGATGCCTGGGATGACCACGATGACTAGGACGACTGAGATAACTGGGATGACTATGATGACTAAGATGACTTGGATGATTGCGATGACCAAGATGACTGGGATTTCTAGGATGACCGGGATGACCGGTATGCCTGGAATGACCAGGATGACTGACCAGGTTGACTGGGATGACTTGGATGCCTTGGATGAGTGGGATAACTAGCTTGACTAGTATGACTAGGATGACTGGCATGAGTCGGATGACTAGGGTGATAGAGATGAACCGTTTGACTANAAATCACCCATGTCACCTTAGTCATCCAAGTCATTCAAGTCACCCAATGCACCCTTCTCAACTAAGTCACTCTAGTCACCCAAGTCACCCTAAATGCCCATACTTGAGCTTACTTAAAACGTACGTAATCCGCCAATTTTAAGAATAGGTATTTGTAATGGCTTTTGTGTATAGAAAGATCAATTCACGCAGAACAGATTTTGAGTTCTATAGGACAACTGTGGTTGTTTTTTGTTACATTTTAATTCTCTGCCTATACTAACTACAACCATTCTGCACTCAACTAAATACAGTTCACTGATCATGAGCTACAGAGGTCAAAAGTACTCACTGTTTACTGAATATTGCTCTGAGCTGCTCTTTGATAACTCAGAGTTGCTCTGAGATAGCTGCAAAGGAGCTCGCAAACTACTTTGAGTGGCTCTGAATATAACCAGTTAGTTGGTCGATGTCTCGCCCGGACAACTTTATAGACTCATGACATTGTTACTCATTGGTTGCCCAAAATTGCGCACAACATTGTAGGCTCCTGCTGGGATGACTGGGAAAAATGTGATGACTAGTATGGCTGGGATGATCAGGATGACTAGGGTTACTGGAATTACCGGGAGGACTAGGATGACCGGGATGAATTGGATGAATGGGATGTCCGGATGACTAGGCTGACTGAGATGACCAGGATGACTACGATGACTGGGATGACTAGGATAACTGGGCTGACTAGGGTGACTGGGAGAGGAGCCTGTTAGGCCCCTGCTGTGATGATTGGGAAAACTGTGATGACTAGGATGACGAGGATGACGGAGATGACCGTGTTGATGAGGATAACTGGAATGATGGGAATGACTAGGATGAATGTGATGACTAGGATGATTAGGCAATGATTTTGTTACCTCTGCGTCCCTGACGCATAGAAATCTCCAGAGACGCAAATTCATGAGTCCCATAGCACGGAAAGATCGATCGATCGATCGATTTCAACACGTGTATTTGAAGAAATATCCCGTTGGTGTAATTTATGTGGCAGTTATAATGGCTGTTGTTTAACGATGCATATTTCTTTTAGCCTTGTGCTTTAAAATAGAAGGACTATATTTTAATTTTTAGGACACTGAATACACAGTTTTGTCTGTCTTCAGATTAACTGTCTGGTTACATTAACGCCCAAGCATTTTCAATTTCGGACTCGTTTTTATTTTTACTGGGACTCATGGTTTTTTACAAGATGAGTCCCAGGACACACCATAACTATTTCTAACAATTCAGTGATTAGGATGACTGATATGACTGGGATGACTATGATGATTAGGCTGACTAGGATGAACAGGATAACCGGGATGGCTGAGTTGACTGGGACGACTTGGATACCTTGGACGACAGCGATGACTAGGATGACTCGTATGACTGGGAAAACTGTGACGACTGGGATGACTAGGATGCCTGGGATGACCACGATGACTAGGACGACTGAGATAACTGGGATGACTATGATGACTAAGATGACTTGGATGATTGCGATGACCAAGATGACTGGGATTTCTAGGATGACCGGGATGACCGGTATGCCTGGAATGACCAGGATGACTGACCAGGTTGACTGGGATGACTTGGATGCCTTGGATGAGTGGGATAACTAGCTTGACTAGTATGACTAGGATGACTGGCATGAGTCGGATGACTAGGGTGATAGAGATGAACCGTTTGACTAAGATGATTTGGATGTGTGGAATCGGGAGTACTAGGATGACTTGGCTGTTTGTGTATAATAGTGTAAACTATTTTTCTTTTAAATGGCAGGCACAAGAGATTAAATCTTGGAACGTTTTTCTGTAGTCTGGACTTGAAACTTTATTTTTTCTTGGTCTTTGTGATATATCTTGATGCTCGGAACAAAATCTCATGAGCTGAATTTATTGACAAGAATTGATATCGATTTTTGTCAAACTGGGACAAATTTTATTTACAGCAGTAGTGTTAAATTAGGAATTTCTGCAATTTTTACTTTTTCAATCTTAAGTAAGATCTCTGATAAACCTTACACTGAAGCTTACCAAAGCCATTGACAACTGCGCGTGCACAACTAAATATTTTTGAACTCTTCTCACAAGAATGTTACTGTGGTCTGCTGTGCGCCACGCTTTTGTGACCTCACCTGTTTCCGTGTTTGCCCATGGGTTTGTTTAATTGCGCTATATATATGCGTGGCCAAAAAATTAATAACTCTGAGAACTTTACATAAATCAACTTTATTTAATTCCACTCGTTTATGTGAAATTTTTCTGTTTCAGCCAGGGGCAGTAAAACAGATCTCAAGAGAGGGTAATGTCCCAATCCTTCTTAGTGAAGTTTTAAAGGGACCCTAAATGACAGCAAAAAAGGCAGAATAATTGAAATGCGGAGTGCTTATATGTTATGGAAATTGCAGAAGAGTCGTGATCGACGTATCACTATTAAGACCTTCGAATTCCTATTTGACAATTAAGTTTGCTCAGCCTCTAAAAGTGACAGTATTAATATTCTATTAAATTTATATCTCATGTGACGCCTCCTTTCGTAATTTTTATCAGCTTGAATATTTGTCAGTTCTCGAGGCAGGAGATAACGACAACAAGGTAAGTTAAAAGACATTTATTTTTTAAGAAGGTTTCTGTAAAATAAGGGACCGATGTGCTGCCAATTTTCGGTTCCAGAACTTCTTCCCAAAGTGAGATAAATGAAATAGCTGTTTATTAAAGTCGATAACCATTGACTTCCTGTTTAACCGCGACGAATTAAGAAAACTTAGAGTTTTCTTTCTTGTAAGGCCAACTTTAACCAGCTTTTAACCTAACTTATCATCTTTTTAATCAGGAGGAATAAATTGTCAGCAGTACCTTGGATTGAAATTGTATTTTAGTGAAATTCGTCCATCCTCATGAACAAACTTTTAAAGTTGCCTTTTCAGGTGCTTCTTGAATATTCATGCGCCTGTTTTAAACATTGAATTAAACAAAAACGGATCTAACATGATATGAGAAGTAGAAAATAGTAAACAAACAAAACAAACGACAAAGCCAGAGACAAAACAAAACCGAAGGAAAGTGCTTGGAGTTAGGACTCGCATCTCTTTCAAAAGGGCAGAGGGTTGGATTCATTATACTCGATACGACGGTCTCTAACGTTAATTAAATCCTCAGCTTAAATTTGGTTCGATCGTCTCTCGGTTCACTGCCGTTATCAATTCAACAAAATGTAGAAATACCATTACCATGTAACAAGTGACGTCTGATTATTAAAAGGTATTGCGATACTAATGACGCACTTGTATACTGACTCAGATAAAGCTATTTTTTCTCTCTTGGCAAGGTTTTTTTAAACATCATTTTACGCGACGAGCTTGGTTACAAAGGAAGAAATTCAGAGTAAGGTTTGTTTCATCTAATTTTTCTTACACAAAAAGTACAGTAATAATTTATACCCTTTCAGTCTGCAGCCATCCCACCAACCAGTCTAAATTGTCACAATCAACTTGAATCTGACAAGAAGCAGTAATTACTATGCGGCAAAAATTTGCTTAACGAAACTCTGTTAATTGTTTAGTTATTTTGGAAGAAAACCTAATCAATAGCTTTTATAATCTGTTTTATTTTGAGCGGATTGTCTAAATAGTTCAACGAGCTTATTGTACGACTAATCGCATATTAAAATGCGACTATTTCTTGGGTTAACATAAAAATCAGTTTCCCAAATGAGTCTCGATCCCCGCGTTTCGGTAACTGCCAACCGATGACCAGCAGTTTGAGGAATTGTCCACAATACAGCTTACATTAACATTATCAGTCACGTGTAGAAACCAGTACGAGACTCGATTCCGACCACTAAGACAAAAGACTACAAATGGATGGATGGGCCAGCTTTTAACCGACTGATATTTGCATACTACAACATCAGACGGTTTCTTGCGGCGTTCATTTTCTGTTTATTTTCAAACGAATTTGGTAAAAAATAGAAATTATTCGCGATTTATTACGGCCTATTCAAACAAGGATCATCTCTTTCCTCTTCACACAAAACGAGTTAACTTTTGAACTAGAGATGAGAGCATTTTCGGACGACTAAAAACTATTTCTTTACTGAACGAACGGAGCAAGAATGACTCCCTAGCTTCCCTGGATTGGAAACCGACAGGTCGGTTCGGGCATTGCAATTTTGGCATGAATATTCTAGCATGTAAATGGGCACTTATCAATCTAGAACTTTTTCTCTGATAATACAACTCCACCTGTCACAAAATGCGAGACAACTGACAAATTATGAAAGCAATTTTCTCAGTAATGAGTTAAAAGGCCATAGCGCTTGCATCACTTAAAACTCGCATCGGGTTCCAGTTTATACAGGGAAGTTGTTCTAAACGAGTTGAGAGAAAACGTTTTAACAGTAAGGAAGAGTAACAGCCATGCAAACAGCTTCATTTGTTATTCGAGGTACGTTTTAGGCCATTAATGCCCCAAGGGGGAATACTGATTACCTTTTTGTGCGATAAGTAACTCAGTTCTCCTAAAAGGTAAGTCTGTTCTTCGAAATTCACGATAAACTCTTTATTACTGAAGGAGACCTTGTGTCGCTGAACTCCCGTCATTCCTAAATATTCTCTGAAGACTTTCTCGTTTAGAGAGTCAAGTTGACAACAACATAATTAGACCAGACGGAAAACTAGGAGATGAAATAAAGAATCAAGGTATATTAAATTCACGATAGTGTTATTGTAAATCATAAAGGATTTTTTATAGAGGATTACTCGTGTTGATGCGTGTTCGACAGCTTGCCGATTTAACACTTTATTCACTGGCCTGCAGACAGTTAAAGTAGGAAAATAGCATTACTGGTGGTGTGCAATTTAAAAAATGTTCCCAAAAACGGTAAAGCCTATCAATAACTTGCCCTCTAGACCTTCCGGCAAAAAACATCGTAAACTGGCAGTTTCTAAGCGCTTTGACGGTTAAAATTACAATGGCCCCAAGCACAGGTGAAAATGTTTATTTGATGTCCAATTTGTTCTTCGAAGGAAAGCTAACAGTTGTGTCAAATATCTGTCTGATGAATGTCTCGAGCCCACAGCAACGTGATTAGCTTCCTTCTTTTAAGTGCAGTTCTTGACAGCTACGACACCTATCGATGACTCGTAGTGGTCCTTAGTAGAGAGAGAAATAGTTCACTTTAAGTGGTCGTAAATTTAAAGTCCCTTGCGGATGTTTTGAAATGTGTTATGTGCTTTGTTCTGGTCTGTCTTTAACAGTTATGTTTTCAAAGCTTTTAGTACTGAAGAAGGTCACAACTTAAATGGAAACGAACAAACCAACATGGATTATCGAGGACATTATCTTTAAGTGCTTGGGTGGTAGTTGACAAGTTCAGTTGAAAGTCAGAATAGCTTTTGATTTTATGCGAGAGTTTAGCGCTGAATTATGTAAACAAGTTTCTATATCTTAAGGAAATGAATTAAAAACAGCCTCGGGAAAAAGGTGTTTATTTCGGGTTTTTACATAACACCAAAAATAAGACGAGAAAGGTGACCGATCACGAGCCTTTTGTAAGAAATTGTTAACAATTGATAAGAAACTTCGGTTTTTCAAAGACTAATTTTTATTTTGCCTTGAAGATTACTTCCCTTAAAGCTGTTTATCATGTTTGTCGCTCGATTGGCGCCTCCAGTATTGTGAATTCGTCTGATTAAGGGTGTTTTATCCTAATGGAAAGCACCTATAACGAGTTATTTTCTGAAAGTGATATGCTGTTTAATTTATCGCCCATTTTACCAATCATGTCGTCTTGGCGTGAATAAATCATTTTACATTTTACACAAATAATCGGTACGGAAACCTTCCATTAAACTAACCTTTCGAAAACGGCAACCTTGTTTTGCAGTCTTAAATATCATTTTAAACGCAGTTGACAAGGAGACTCGAGACACTAGACTTTTTTCTTAGCTTTTAAAAAAATACCCTTGAAGTCATAACTGGAAAAAAGAATTCAAATTTGTTTTGTTTCTGAATATCCAGAAAAATTAAGTAGTACTATCACGTGGAAGAACTCGGTTCACAGAATTTGACCACAGCCTCAAAAACAAAGAGAAAAATAATTTAAATTTTCGTATCTTCATAATAGAAACACTTCATTGCCTGAAAAAACAGCCTACATTTCGCGACACCTCCCAGTCTGTGAAGCGAGCGCAGAAATTCCATACTGATGAAGCGCCAATATCTATAGATCTGGGTAGAGCTCCTGATTGGATGACGCTAATTGTCAACCAACCAATCAGAAGCACTACCCAAATAGATATAGAGCGCTTACCATTTGTATGGAAAACCCGGAAATTCCGTAGAGAATTCAAATGGAACGGTTCATCCCGGTGGAAATTTTCCGGTAAAAAGTAATACCTTTTGTGGTATTACCTTTTTCCCGTTCTAACCGAGACGACGGAGATTTTCTGTACCATTTGTTCGGATTACTAGTGCTAGGCTTCATGTCGAGAGAAAGCGAAAAATTTACTGGTATTTTGTGAATGGTACAACTCAATCCCGTTCCTGTTTTCGGTATCAGAAAAAATACCAGTACCATTTGACGGAAAATCAGTTCACCGAAATTTCCGTACAAATGGTAAGCGCTCAAAGTGAGTGCATAGGGAGGCTGGGGACAGGAGGGGAAAAAGAGATTATTGCTAGACTACGAATAGTCCTTTATTTTCTTTCAAGGATAGTAGAGCGAGCGAAATGCGAGCGCGCCTCAAAATCACCCATCGCGAGGAAGGCGCCTTTCTCGCGTGAGGTGATTTTCACGCGCGCTCGCGTTTCGCTCGCTCCACTATCCCTGAGGGAAAATAAGGGCTCTACTTGTAGTCTAGATTATTGCTATTTTTATTAGGATAACCAGCAGGAGCCTCTATGGAGGAGAAAAGACGAAACCTCGCTTTTAGTCAAATGAGACTATCGTGAATGACATTAAAAATTTTCAGTATGATTCCTAAGTGTCTCTCTCGTAAAGTCATGATTCGTTAAAAAGAGCAAATAAGACAGTGTCACATTGCAAGGCTTTGTGTACATGCATCAGTCTTTGATGTAAAACAAATTATGCCAAATAAGCAGCGGTTAGAAGAACTACAAAATTATACAGATAGGATAGCAAACAGAATTAATCAGTTGAGGTGCCAATAAAGAGGAACCAATTAATTCTGGTCATTGGACTTCAAGGATAACTAAAATACAAAAAGCTTATAAATTCAGGAAGTCAAATCCGTGAGCAAGTTCGAATCTAAATAGTCAAGGTTAAGTCAATATAACATTTACGTGGCTGTATCGTAACAGTTAACCATTTTTAGACGTCTTGGAAAATTGGAGAAGAAACCAACTGAGTCAAACAAAGTACATAAAACAATTAGTCTACACACCCTTGGAGAACTGTTAAATTTATTATTATTTTCACAAACCGTAAAACGTTTTGGATGCCACGCGGGTTTTTGAAATTTCCGAAATATTTAATGACCGTTTTACAGGGATGTATTAAAACCTCTCACTGACATATTAACCAAGCAAAATCCAATCGATTTATTGCAAAAAAGCTTTTCTATTGTTCCTTACTGTTTTGAATCACACGGGGTGGTCTTTTGTTTTACTGTTGGCGACTTGCGGGGGATCTGTACGATTGCATTGAAAGAAAGTGATAATTACCCTAACGCCTTTTTGAATGCATTCTCAAGCGGAACTCTTGTTACTCCCCAACTCTATAATTTCCCGTCTACTGGTGAATTGTTTAGCGAAACATCATTTAAATCTGCGATATTCACGGGTAAATAACTAAAATATATGTCGTGGTCGTCCTGTGAAGAGAAGATACCATATTTATTGCCTTGTAAAGCTCGTATTAGGACCGCTGAAGGTAAGAAATAATTTTGAAACATGTGTAACTGAACTGGTGTTTTGTTTTTCTTTTTCTGCTGTGATTTACTGTGGTTTATTGTACTTCAATTTTACCCATTCCTTGTTTTGAAAAATATCTCATTACGTAATAAACCTTCAAAAATTTATCCTTTTTTTATTTTTGCGAAACCTGGGCTTTTAAAGCAAGTTCGTAACTAAAAATAAAGTCTCTTAACAAATGCGTTCATAAATATTCCTGTTTACGAAAGAAGTCGATAAGGTCTCTGTTGTCGATCGAGTACCTTCTCCGTTATTCCAACTATGATATAGCCGACTCAACTCCGCATTTTTTGTTATTATTATATAATTCACAAGGACTCGTGTGATGTGTTTGTCTCAGTTTTTATTTGTTTTCACTGAACGGTATCAAGCACTTGTCGCGTGACATAGTTTCTTCGGCTCTCGGTTAATCCTCTCAACCGCTTTGTTAACTTCACCTGCCGAAGGGGCTAATCACTGTGAAAAAAAACTCAACGAAATTAACTCAGACAAAAAAACCTTCATTGTTGGTGCATTGTGCCTGTGATTTATTTCAAGTTGAAACAGTCGACGCTCTGCTTGCGACCACTTTTGTAAGCGACCTGCTCAAGTTACGACCAGTATTGTTAAACCCCGTTTGATCGTTTACCAGAGCTTCCAGGGGCACTCAACGACTGTTTTCTGTAAAATATCTGCTCGGAGAAGCAGATGTTGCCTTAAATTTTCTTCTGTTTGAGGACGGCTAAAAATTTCCAGATGACCGTTCCATTCCTGTCGATTTTCGAAGCTCATCTAATAAATTCTCTACGATTTTCTGAAGTTTAATTTTTCACATTTCACTTCCCAGGTTTGGCTATTTTTCGTAGAAAAAAGGAACCCTAAAATTTTCGGATTCAAAAATGTGATGGAAAGAGGAATCAGGAAAAAGCTCACTTTCATTGGTAATACGTTAAACTGCAGCTAAAATTTTCGTAAAAATAATACTGAAGCCCTTGTAATTTCGAAAAGACTCATGTTCGCCTAAGATGACCTAACAGATACAAATTTTATAGCGCCGCTAAGAATGCATTTCTAGAGATCTAAAAGTAGTCTGGGTAGCCTAAAAAGTCTTTTCAATGGATTTGGAGGAAACCGGTTTCTGCCATTTAATTTTTGCCTTAAAAATGAATAATCATTTCGGGCTAAATATGACCTTGAAACTCCCCGAGCAGGAAAGAGACGAACGGATAATATAAAGATCATACTGTTTAATCAGAATGCGACTTAGTCACGAAACGAATCATCAACACGAAGGTGGGGCAGACCACTGAAAATACATACAGTGTAACAACAAAAAAGGAGAAGTTCGTTTACAAATAGGAAAAATATTCTCATTATTACTGGTGCACTATCAATCCCTTATCAAGCTCCTACACCACTATTCGCAAAGGCGCTTTAATTTGATATTTGACCGGGAGTTAAGTTTGATTAAGGTTTGTTACCTTAATCGGGTGGACAGTGATAGAGAATCTAACGTGGCACGCTTACGATTGGTTAAAAATCTCGAGCCACTTTATCAGGCAGCCTTACAAAGCACATAAGTTCAGACAGGTAAAATAGCTTTTGGTTTGCGACTTGATAATGTCCAAATCTGACAGTGCAAAAACAAACATGTTTGCTTCTAAATCTTACATAAGTGGCAGCAAATTCCATTCTTTGCACGTTGGCCCTAGTGTATTCTCTAGCGCGTGAAGGCATCGTTATTCCTTACACTTTTGTAGAGATAAAGAGACAATCAGTAGATTGCTGGTCCAGTAGACTACGAGTAGTCCCCGTTTTTTCTCAGGGATAGCAGAGCGAGCGAAACGCGAGCGCGTGTGAAAATCACTCCACGCGAGAAAGGCGAGATGCGGCTTACTTGTCTAGTGAAATGTAATTGATCAAAGCTTATCTAGCCTTACTTCCAGCTTTCCATTTAAAGGGTTCGTCTAACGTTTCACCCACACCGTGTTTGATGCCCGGTAGGAGAGACTCTGATATTAAAGTGACGGGGATACTCGTCATCTCGCTTAGGGGGGTGTAAATTGCATATTTTGGTCTCACTTAGGGTGTTTGCAACGGAACGTCACTATATTTCTCCATTCAGGTATCGCTTAGGGCTGTGCGTGATGTCTGTTTTAGTATGGTCTCATTTGGGGTCAGTTTAAGCTTGAGCAACACCTATCTTAATCTCTCTTAGGGGTTTCAGGTTTTAATTTTCCGACGAGCATCCCATCACTTTTACATGGGAGGTCCCCACCCACTCCGGGGATAGATGGTTCTCAAGGGACGAGGAGAAACCTCCCTGGCAACAATGTTGATGGTCTTTCAGTTATCTCTGCAGAAAAAAGTTTACACCAAAATCCGCTTTTTGACTAACTGTAATTAAAAATGATAACGTTATCTCTGATGTACTTTTCTTTGTTTCGTTTTCGGAATCAGTATATTTTCGACATGTAGAATATTGTTTGTACATAAGTTTAGGTAGGCCTTAAAGTTGCGAATACTTAAGGAAAAAAATGTTGAACAGAATTGTTCAAAGTTTAATGAAACTCTGTACTATCAGGAGCCTATGAAAATGGAAAAATCCACGTAACGAATGCAAGGAACTCCTTTCAAATTGATTCCCAGTTTAGCATTGGAAGCTATATCTCATCTGGGAATTTAGCAAGACTAAGCCACTGATTACCGTTGAAAGAATAGAAAATTTTGGGTAACTTTGAAAACAATTGATTGTTTGCCTCCCTAAATGACCCATTACAATGCGACTGGAAATCATGGACCTTTTAGTAGAATACTGGTAGCCCTCCGTTGATCCAAGGCAACTCACTGTGAGAAAGAAAAAAACAGCAAAAACCGTGGACGAAGATCCCGCTGGTTGTCAACGTTAGATCTCTAAAAAAGAGATCTAATCAGCTAAAATATTAAGAACAAAAAACGAGAGGTCCAAAGACTACTGGAAAGCTGATAACAACGTGTATTGATTTTTTTAAAACAATATTTCGGCTGGCCTTACCAGCCTCCTTCAGATTTACAGATGTCATTAAATTCTTGATAGGAATGACAATATTATATAGACGGAGAACGTCGCAATAAAAATTGTTTAAAGGCAAGGGACGCAAGGCAATCACTTTTTTTGTTTGCGAAAACAAGCGTCGCTAATTACTATTTACCTTCCATTGAACGGCTTAGCATCTCTGATACGATCAAACACGTTCTAAAACCAAAACATCAAATCTATTTCCGTTTGGCTAAAAATATCTCGCCAAATCTGTACCTGTGGAGAACCACGAGGCTTCGTAATTGTGTACTCCACGAGGAATGGTATTTTTTATCTTCTTTTTACGAGTACATCACAATCAAACGTGACATAGGTTAAGACCTACGATTTCCTTTCGTGAGAGTAGCGCACAGACTGTTTGATAAATAGTTTGAAAATTGCGACCCGGAGTGGAGTTGCATTTTTAGTTTTTTTCATGTTACTAATTCCGCACTATCTGGTCATACTGTGTGATTCAAATTTGTTCTTGTTTTAAAACAGGCCGCCCACGACATGATATGCAATTTTGATCTTACTTGTTGAGCCTTAACGTATTTAGCTCCCTGGCACGTGACAGGTCACATGGTTGGAGCGCGTCGGATTAAATACGAGAAACCCGCCAAGGAGAACCCAGAAAACAACAGCTCAACGGCAAGTCCATATTAAGTGGTGTTCCTCAAAGAAGTTTGACGTTGCCTTCTGTGCCTTCTCGACAACGGCAAAATACCACGGGTAAGTCAAGTTAGCGATATCATGTTTGGAGCACACTGCTAACAAGGGGCACTGTAATCAAAATTTCAGTAGCACTAATTGAAAATCCAATAAAAATCCAATGCAGTGCTCTTAATAAGATAGTACTTTATTAAGCAACAATCAATTTAGAACAGAAACAAACCTTTACATTAACACAGTACACAGCGGCAGACTCCTGTTGAGAGAAAAAAAATGTATTATTTAGTGAAAAGGGAAAGAGGAAGATAGGCCAACTACCGTAAAACCTCACTAGTGATTGCTTTGAACACACACAGGTTTGCTTTACAGAACATTTGGAGAGAACAGTTTGGGGACTTTCTAAAAATCATGTCCGCTTGATACCTTAATACGTCCTTAACTGTATCTTAAACAACAACTTGTGTTGATGATACTGTCTCGTGCCTCGGTCGACAAATTTGATTGGATTTAATTTCCAAATTTTTACACAGAAGTTTATACTCCCCATCAAAATAACACTTGCGTCTTCTTATCAAAATGTCAGTTGGGCTTTTTTTGGACATCTCACAATGGTTTTAGTATTTCTAAACGGGTGGGTTCTGAGAGGGGTTTCAGCCGCGAATAAAAAACCCAATTATATTCTGTCGAGATTCACAATACATTTTGGTAAGAAAAAATTCGAATTTTCGTCAAGAGGAAAATTCTCATGTGTTGTACCCTTCCGACATATATCGTTTTGTGAAGCTTTTCTTTATTAACAAAAGTTCATCCAGTTAGTCACTCTGAATCATGCCTAATTTGAAGGTGGAAGAGTTGGTTATCACGTGAAAAGGGGCGGTTGGTGGCAAGAATGGTTGGCGCTTGTGTTTTAACGGATAAGCCAGTGCTAGATTTGAGACGGCGTGCGTTTAAGTAAAGCACGGCTTCTATCAAATAAGTGTACCTTCAAAAGGAAGGGTCCGACACTCCGAAATCACGTAGAACAGGTACGAGATGTTGCAATGGAGAGTCTGGAAAATGCTTCATTCAGTGGATAAAGCTAACTACCGCCTTCAGAAAGTATATTTTGTCGTATTGCCAAGCAAATTGTCTCTCTCTATTTCTCACATTTTGGCTCTCAGATATAATGCGCGTTCGCATATTCGCTTGGCGTCAAGTGTCCAAGGGCGGAGCCTCACCGAAATTCTTTTATGCTTTTTGGCTTAAATCAGAAAAAGTGCAGTATTTTGCTTTTGTTTGCTGGCCCTCGGAACTTCCCCACCTTTTTATAAGATCTTCCCGCTCTTTTCTCCTCTCGGAAGGCTTTTGAAGATATGGAACGGCTGAAAAATAACCGAATCACTGAATTTCAATTCTTTTTCGTGGTGGGTGGGGGGATCACGCTCCCCAAGAAGGATTAACATTTTCCGGAAATACTGTGTACCAAGCTCCGTATATTCAGTAAAACGGAGGAGTGTGCGAGTACTCACGACTGTATTCCCCGCGCGTTTACGAGGGCAATGAGATGTGTCATTACTCTTAAAAGTTTTTGTCAACTAACCAAAACCGCTAAATCCCTTTGGTAGTTAGTGCCAATCATCAATAACTTCTTTCTGTTATTATAATCATTTTTTAATTGACCTTAGATACTGCCAAGAAATAGTGGATTGATTTTTGAAAAAAAAAACAAAGCCAAAAATCTTCAGGAATCCGCCTTTTTTCTGGGCATTTAATCTCTAAGAGGGTCAAGTGAAGTGATAGATGCAATCACGCGGTAATTATTGAGTAGGCGAAAAACAGCAAACTAAATAGGTTCTACTTCACGCAGGAGCGAAGCGAAACATCTCTGCACGTACGCACTACGCGCATGCGCACCTGAATACAACGAAAGCACGCGTAGTAGGGTCACTGAAAAAGCGCAATTGCCTTCACTTGATTCTCTTATTTTTTTCTCGGAACAAAACCTATCATTTTTTCACATGGGAATGTCGGTTTTCTTAAAGAAGAAATCAGATTTGTGGGCTTCACACTGAAGATAGAGTTAAAAAAAGGTGAGAAAAAAGCTATAAAGTAGCTTCCATCAACAAAACGTTTCCACAGTCAAACTGCAGACAAGTATTTATGAATAAAAGACTAAGATACATGAACTTGGTTGCTTTCTTAATTAATGGACGATCGAACCACTTTACTAGAACCCAAAAACCCAGAGCTGTGCGATCTAATTGATTGTATGATAAGTAAGAAAGTTTTGCTTGATAACCCACCATACTTAAAACAAAAAAAAACGTTATTAATGTACATGGAAACGACTTGGGCGGGGGAAGGGGAAATATCGTGACTACGCCTTGTCACGGGAGAAGTGCTGCGTTACGACATGCCATGATTTTACGGTTATAAAGGGTTTTGAAAAAATAAATACCACCATTCTGAACCAACATTTCAAATTCCAATTCGATCTGGAATATGTCTCCAATTGCTTGGGGACACGTAGAGAGCCACGGATTTATCATAATCAGCTCTCGAAACTGTCAACTGTCACTATGCATCTCTAAATGACGGTTTTGCCCGGTTTGGTTTTGTTTCCTTAGTTTATCAGCCTTAAGAAACTTACACGTTAAATCTATGCCTTGCGCGTTCGTGAGATAACTTAGAATACTCGATCTAAAGCGGGGCTCTTACGGAGGCCAACAAACCGAATGCTTTAACTTTAGCGTTAGATAGTCTTCAAGATTTTTCGTTGCTTGTTATAAGGTTTATTGTGTTTAATCCTCCAGTGACTCGGCTTTCGAAGACACGGAATAGGTGAACCCAGCTTACTCTCTTTTGGTGAGCAATGGCTGAATTACTAAAATTGGAGACAGATTCGACCAGTGGCTAGATTGGTGATCTGTACGTGGACCCTGTAGGGCCCCATTCATGAAGCTCGCAGTTCTAAGCCCCCTGGCCTTTAAGCCACCACCAGGCTTTATTTTTAGGGGGAGCGCGAGCTGACTTAATTTCGAACTGAACACCCCCTCCCCCCACCCACCCCCAAAAACTCATATCCGGGCAACAATATATATTACTAACCAAACGTAAAATGGTAAAGTATGGGGCGTACGAATTTTATGCTTCTTAGCCACCCACGTGCCACATGGACGAGATACAATGTATCGTTACTGTAAACTGCTAGAGGTTTGACATTTGGCCAGAACCGCGAAACCCCAGTTTCGGTTGTTTGTGCCAATTATCAATAACTTTTCTTCCGTTACCTCCTATATATTAATATCAAGGTTATCTGTTAATTAAAAACAGTGACGAAGTTCTAGACAGTTCTTATAAACTAAAGAATTAAACAAACTCTCTTTTTTATATACATCGCAATTTCAATACAATGGGCAAATTGACAGATCAATAAAACTTCAAATTAATGTATCAACGATTTTAAAAAACGGAAAACAATCTTAAAACATCCACTTTTTCTGGCTTTTTAATCTTTGCGAGGTCAAGTGATGTGGCTGATGTAATCCAGCGGTATTAAATGAGTTGGTCGAGAACAGCAAAACAATGCGTTCTTCCTCACTGTTTGCGCTACGCGATGCGAAAAAACTTCAAAAAAACAAATACCAGAAAAAAAAGCTTTATAACTTTTTTTTTTTATTGCGGCTTGGGAAACTGGAAACAAAAACTGCTTATCGTCGTTTGTCCCTTTATAATCGCTTGGCGTGTCTAAGGCGGAGCTATTCTGCGAAGGTTATTTAACCTTAATGGCTAGAGTGTTGCAATCCCAAAATAATACTTTAAATCTCCAAGTCAAACTTATGAAGTCATGCGATCAGTAACAATTCTAGCTTTTGAGTCTTCTGATGAAATGTTCTAAAATGTAGAAAACCAAATACGGAAACGAAGCCAGGCCTCTCTGTTGTCTTTCTGCTCACGGTAACCGAATCTAGACACAAGGCCGGTGTTTATCCTGGCAAGTCATTTTGGTCTTTGGATTTCTTAAGTGTGGCCATGAAAAGTTAAGTTGTGCCCAAAAAGACGGTTCTAGGTTTTTTTGGTTACTATTAAAATTGAGCCGTGTGCTCGTGTACAGTTACGAGGCTATTACATTACCTGGGCTCCTGTTATGTACACTACTTTTTTTGTCATCGTGCAAAACGAATATGTGTCGTAAGACGGTCTTTCTAGAAACTACTGATTTGCTATGGTTATGAGATTATCTTGGGACGGCTGTCTGCCTTTATTAACCCCTGAAGCTGTACAGTTTCACAGAGATTTTAGCCTAGGATTAACCCCGCACACACTCCTTGGTAGTGGCCAAACGAACAAGTTACGAAAAGTTCTAGGTTCAGTTTTGTAAAATATCGAAAAACAAATAACCTCAGCAAAAAGTACTGCTGAAGAGGCTTCATTTGAATGGTCACACCATAGGATTCCGTCTGAAGGCTCAAAAGTTTGAGCTAAATTTTATTTCTACAGATTCGACTCTGAAGTGAAAAGGTTGTCGCGTGATTGTCTAGTCTATCGATTAAAAGTAAGTGCTATGATGAGGATTGCAAACGTCCTTTGGCTGCCAGCATGTGTGTTCAAATAATTACCTTTCAAAGTGGGATAAGCTGAAAGCGAAGACTCACCTACACTCCAGTTGCACTGTTTCGAGTCACGAAGGTTAATTTCAATCTGAATTGGCAACTTCGAAATCTACATAATGGTGCCAACATTGTTGTCACGGAACAGTTCATCAAACTGTAAGAGAAAAAACGGAGAATAAATCCAAACGGTTGTTTTCACAATGATTTGCCATTATTTTAAGACTTCCATTCTAAGCCGGAAATAGAATTAAAACTATCGAGGACCCGGTCAGAATTAACCTCATTGGGCCTAACTAAGAAAAATCCCCTTACTTCGGATTATCTTTTCCTCAAGTCAATTCTTTTATTCACTTTTTTTTTTTTAATTTTGGTCTCACAGACCTTTCAACCATTGGCTAAAAACATCCGCTATAAAACTTAAGGCCAAAGCTTTCGGATAAGAGGCTAAACCTGAAATCCAAAGTGTCCTCTGCCAGTCTGAAAATATTTATCTAGTGTCGTGTTCAGTTGCTGTAATGTTTGTTCAGATGCGAATTATCCCAAGCAAGTTGATTTAAACGCGTTCGAAGCGACATTGACAATTTATTTCCGTGGGCATTGCGGCCGGTCACTAAGTAAACGAGCCAAGTTATCGCGAGTTACATTTAATTAGGACAAACAACGACACAAAGGTAAATCCTCATAATTATATATCTTTTACTTATATTGCTTTTAGTTTGCGTCTCCAACTGTATTTCATCTGCGTGACTTAAACTGTTTTAGACATGTTTGCTTAGGGTTGAATTGTGCGCAAATATCGCTTACTTGCCTTGCCACTCAGTTCAGTAATAGCTTCAAATTTCGTCTTCTCGCCCTCTCTCTCTCTCTCTCTCTAGAAAATTTAAGGTCGAAATATTTCTCTTGATTCACCTAAAGCGATATAATTTATTCCATATTAACATCCACTACAGCGAATAGAAAATCATTAATGAGATTACTTTGACGACCTTGGTTTCCAAGCTGTTCAGTGGCCGTGTTTTACTGTCAGTTTGTGGTCTCCAAGAGAGCTGATATTAATATTTACAGTTTAAGTATGTTTTGTAAAATTCGTGCACATGCCATATGCGCCAGGTGGGAATAAAAGCCTTACAGACAAGAATTAAAGCTGCCTGAAACGAACTTGGCATTCACTTCGTTTCTCGGAAACAAGTTCTTAAAAGCAAGTCAAGTCTGTAACTCATACAGACTTTATGGCGCTAGCACTCAGTAGCGCACAAACACTTGGATATTTGATGGACAAACTGGCATGGCTGGCTGGCTGCGGCTATTTTTTATGTTACAAACTGACAGCTTCTTGGCTGACTCAAATGGCTCTAGAAGAGCACTTCAATTATAAAAGAAATTTCAAGTCGCTTTACCAATCTCCGAATGAACCATTCACTGGCACTTAATATACTCTTTAGACCGTAGCTGATGTAAAACGCATTGGCGAATTTCCAGTGCATTTTGAGCAACTATTGTTCACAATCGCTGCAGTTTTTTGGCGTAAACCGAATACACTTCACTCTTCGTGGGAACAAAAAATACTGTTTCGCCAAAAACGAAGTA